TATATATATATATATGTATGGGCCTGATTGAATTTAAAATTAACACCTAAAATATTAATCACTGAAATTAAAATCACCCTCTGTATAAAATTGAACTTGAAATCAAATTACTAGAAGAACATAAATCTCTTCAATTACTATAAGAACGTAATTTACTAGTAAGAAATTAAGAATAAAACTCATCTTGGGGGGAAATTATTCCATCAGGACACCGCTGTCCAATGAGCACATGCCACGTGGCAAGTGAATTTAACTCCTCAATAAAACCTACCCAATCATTGTATTCTAGTAAGGCCCACGAGTGTGCAGTAGACTCCAAACACAAATTTGAGCCGAGTGTGTTGATGGAATAAGCACTCCATCTTGGTAGGAGAAATATTTTTGTACGTAAGACGTACGCAGAGTTGTGTACATATTATGTTATTCGGAGGGTACAGGTACGTTACACTTAGTTTACAGGAAAAATTACAAAGGGTATAACTTTAGTGTAACCTACATGTACCCTCCGAATAATCTAATATGTACACAACTCTACATACATCTTTTAATAGTGCTTCTCTTCAGAAGCGCAATCCCAGCAGCACCATTCATATTCCAACCAGCAGTTAGATCATAAATCTCCTTATTATATATCTCCAATACTGCAACTTGTACAAACCAAGTAAACCTCCCTTTCCCCAAGAATATCCTTAAGAGCCTTGTACCCGATTCCTGACTCCCTCGCGCACCCAAACATGGTGTGGCTCTTCCCAGCCCCTGTAGAGTCGTACATCATGACGGTGCATTTGGCAATGAAGCACACCCTCTCGACCCTCTACTCAACGAACCTGTTATAGAAACACCTCAAGGTCTTCGATCTCCGAGGAGAAGCCGTCATTCATTTTAATATATATATATATATATACATATATATATATAATTTACAGTCATGAAAACTCTAATCCACCTCCCCTGCTCTCCGCCGCTGTGCCACCGCTCAAAGAGCGCTCTAATCTCAAGAGAGGAAAAGTCTAATAAAAGGGAGAACATTGAGAAGCTTCAGATGAATCAATGGCGGAAGAAAACCCTAGGGCAAAGCCTGAACATGGCGGGCGTCGCATCATTTCTGAGCGTCGCAACAAGAAAGCCACACCTTGCTCTACCCCATCTATCCGTTCCCGATTTCCGCTGGATCGATTGGTCTGAGCTCGAGCGACTAGGGTTTCGCGGCGTCGTCTTCGACAAAGACAATACCCTTACTGCTCCTTACTCTCTCTCCCTGTGGCCTGCGCTTTCCGGATCATTCGCTCGATGCCAGACCGTTTTTCCGGGAAAAGTTGCGATTTTCAGCAACTCTGCGGGTGAAAGTTCCTTTTTTTTTTCTTTTGCTCTAATTGATTGATGTAATTGAAAAAAAATTGTTTAAGGACTTTGTGTATTTGCTGCTTGTGAGGATAACACGGAGGATTTTTTCAGGTTTGTGTCAATATGATCCTGATGACTCTGAAGCAAGGACTCTTGAGGAATCGATAGGAGGAATTCATGTTATAAGGCATGGTTTGTATATTTTGATCCCTGTTGATTTTTATTTATCTGGTTGTTATATTTTACAGTAGAAAAGGTTTGCTGTTTCAGAAAGAAGGAGAATCTGTTGCTACAGCTTAGAATCAAGGGGCATTGCATTTACATACATACCGCCCAATTCCTATGTATTGACATATCTATCACTTTACATTTGGCATTTATACTACCCAAATCTTTTATATCACATAAAAAATTCCATCATTTTAACTTTTAAATATTCCTTTTCCATTCATAGGTAAGATGGCATGTATTTACATATTTTATTGATTAATCTTATGTTTAATTCATCTTAAAACAAGTTCAATGACAACAAAATTCATTAAGATCGAATTTAGGCCAACATATCTTGGCCCGAAATTTCATCTTTGATATTATAAGCTTAGGCCATCTATGAAGGCTAAAGTTTTTGGGAATTTGTTGAGCTTGGCTTGTGTGAAAAATTGTTATGCTACTCTTGAGTTTTCTTCCACATGAGCAGTATAGCATTTATTTATGTAGCTAAGCCTCGAATGAGAAAAGTGGAGGGTTGCCTTAGGCAGTCGACAGCCAGCATAAATTTTTTGTCAAAAAAAATGCCAACTCACTTATTGGAATAAAGGCTTGTTGTTGTTGCTGTTGTTGTTGATCAGTATAGCATCTATAGTATTTTTTTTATTTTATGTGAGACATACCCTTTTTTTAATTAATTCACTAATTAATGAACATTGGCTAGAAATTAAAAAATTACATCTCCCCCTGTATTGTTAGTGCCTCCATGACCACTACTACGGCTACAATCCCTTTATAATTAAATAAGTGTTTGGTGAATTAATTCTTCAATAATTATAGCTCAATCACCCCCATAATCTTTAACATACCCCTTGCATGAGTAATTGTAAATATGACGAGTGAATCTCTCTTCTAGAGCATATATCCATCTTACAAAAAAGAGGAGAATATGTCCACCTTAAGGGAAACATGTCGTTGTGTTATACCTAAAAACTCCTATTATTATTTGATTTCAATTGTGTGTGCTTCCTTATTGATTGAGTGTGTTGGAACATTTTTTGTCTTCTCTTTTATGTTCATCTATTTATACTTTCAATTTTTGATAATTTTTCTTGCTTAGAGTATTCATGCCTTGGATTCTTTCAGGTTTACTTTTAGAAGCACTCTATTCATCACCTTTTTTGTAACACAATTTCAACGTTCCTTCTCATATGTGCTCTTTGATTAATCAAAACACGAATGTTCTGTTTTTTTTGCTTCAAAGTACGATCCCATTGCGAATTGTAACATGTTTTCTGCACTAACAACCTTGGGTCAATTAATCAATAAAAAATTGACACCCTCAACTTCCCCCATGCAACTCTGTTGAGGATGGCTAATTGGGCTTTTGAATTAATTCCCTCAATACTTATTGAACTATGCTTCTACTTACAAGTTAAAATCGCTTACACTCTCAAATAATCTTACTAATAACGTGTCAATTAATCTACATCAAATTGGTGGAAGCGATTTCATACTTAACGTCTCAACCAATATTTCACCTTCATGATGAAAACATATCCCCTTTATATGGCTATTAAGGGATCTACTTTTATGATATCTAAGGACTTGTTAGTCCCATAATTATAAAATTACCTCTCAACAGCCTCAAAAGGCTAAGGACTTGTTAGTCACATAATTACATGCAATAAAAAAGGTACACCGGGAACTCATTCATCCATGAGTTTATACTCTCAAATATGTGATCGATTTACCCTTACATCTATTAAATGAAAGCTTATATTACTTGGGAAAGTAATGCATAATCGTTATTTTGTACAACTTTTATAAATACACTTCATCATTCTTTTCAAACATAAGATTAGATTTGTCACATATAAAATATAGCATGTGTGCGAAACGAGAGATTTGGTGAATCTTATGATAAGGGGACTAAATATACGTGTTTATAAGAAATTAAATGGAAATGAGAAAATTCCAAACATGTTGGGAAAGGTTATAGTTAAATGGACAAAAATTGTTCAACATAACTTGCAAAGAATACATTTAAATTCTTGGGCAAAACTCATCAGAAAAGACCAAAAAATAAAGATTCATAGTGCGGACCTCAAATGTTTGGGATAAGGCTGATGATAATGATGAAAATGATGATACAATGCATGCAAATTTATATTGAATGTTTCCTAATTAATTAATGTAATAATAATACATATGCCCCCAATTAATGTGCTATATATAGTGAGTATTCATTTTTGTTAAATTATTTTACTTCTATGCCAAACCCATTGATGATTTGTGTGCATTTTTCAACATCATCATATCATTGAGTAGTTTAGTTTTATAAATAGTTTTATTGACAAATCCAACAACTTATTTCAACTATAATAACAAGAACAAGCCTTTATCCCATTAAGTGGGTTGGTTGCATGAATTATTTCTCCATTGCGTCCTCCTATTGAGTGTCATATTTTCATTTAATTCTGATAAATTAAGATCATTTTTTATACACCATGCTCAAGTCTTTCTAGGTCTACCTCTGTCATTCTTCACAAAAGTTGAATCTAAACCTTCTACTATCCTAAATGAATCGTCAGATAGTTGACGTTTAATGTGACCAAACCATCTAAGACGACTCTCTCTAATTTTGTCCGCCATTGGAGCTACACCGACCCTATCACAAATATTTTCCATTCGCATTTTGTCTCTGAGTGTAAAGCTTATTTGACACTATATCTAGATGCTGAAATAGCGGCCCCTGCACACTTTTTGTTGTATTTAGGTAATATAGTGCGTCACTTTCAGGGGACGCTCTAGCATTTACACAATGATAAAAAAGATTCATATCATGATTTTGTCGATTACTCAATGCAACCCTCTACTTTTTACATCTATGCTTGGGGCCCGACAATGACTTATTTCAACTTTTATGCCAAAATGGCACATTCAACGTATCTAAATGTAAATTCTTCTTATGAAAGTGTAGAATTGAAGAAACCAGCTGGAACAGCTGAAGACATAGAAAAGTACTTTGGCTGTCCAGCCTCAGATCTAATCATGGTATAATATATAAATCCCTGTATTTTTCTTGCAGTTCTAGTGCATTTTGACTTTCCTTTATGTTATAATATGTAATGTTTTTTTTAATTTGATCAGGTGGGTGATAGATATTTCACTGATGTTGTTTATGGAAACAGAAATGGCTTTCTCACCATCTTGACAGATCCTTTAAATCTTTCCTTAGAGCCCTTCATTGTGAAGCAGGTAATATTTTTTTTTTCTTAAAGCTGCCATTGTTTTAGAATACTTTTATGTATTCAAGCATAATTAGGAATTTTTGTATGTTTTCTTAAGAGGGTATGGCAATAAACATTGCTCTTTACAAATCTTGCACCCTTTTTCTTCCATTTTTGAAATTCTCACTCAATTATCAAAATTCATCATAAAAACACCACCCAGTTTTTCATTTTTGTGAAATTCTCAATGGTTTGATCGTGGCATGCGTAAATACATGGGTTTGTTAGTTCAAAAGTATCATATGGGTGCTAGATTTTGTAAATAGAAATATTTCGGGTGCTATGTATAAAAAATCTCTATTCCATGAGTAATATATGTAGGAAAATATGCTTTAAAGACCCATAACTTGAGAAAATTTGAGATAATTTCAGGTGAGGAAGCTGGAGGGCTATATTGTGAAGTATTGGTATGGTAAAGGTGTAAAAGCTGCAAAACATATTTTACTTCCTGATGTCCATCATTGTGTGAAGGCTTCACCCTCATAATTGTTCCAGGCTTTATTAAGGTGAAGGCCATATATTAATATTATTGAGAGTTTACTCATGCAAATGAATATATATTATGCTGACAAGTGTATTTAGTAGCGGAATGATGGAGCATGGAAATATTTATGTAAATTACTTTTATTTTAGTTTTATTTATTGCATTTTTTTTGTTCTATTTTAATGTTCGGTGAAATTTTGTTTTTTTTCATTGCTACATATTTGTTCTCATTGTTTGATAAATAGTTAGATGAAGTGGTTGGAAACAAAGGCATTGCATAATTGCATCTTATGATGCGTGTGTGCTGCTGCCGTGTGCCACGGCCTGTTGGTTGGCATCTATGGTATAAGACCCCTCAGGTTGGGTGTTCGAATCCCCTCTGACACAACTGGCCTTAAGGAGGTGGTACTCGAATTATGAGTGTTTAAAAGAAAAAGGTTGTGATGAAATATACTTTTATAACCATTTACGAGTCATATATATGGTTTATGGCGGTTTATAGCGGAATATAAATTATATATATATATATATATATT